GTTTGGTGTGTATAATTTATAAGAAATAATGAGAATGAAAGGAAGCCGAAATGTAAACTAGCACTAGTCTTTAATCGTGACGTAGTGGATACAATAGCACTGACTATGATTTAACATAGAACTGGACACAGCTGAATGTGTATAATTCTCGTTGTTTTACCGCTAAGGTGTAGAATTCTTTGAAATCTGTGTTCCCTGAAGGGCATAAACCTGGGTGTCTTCAAAGCTCGTAAATATATTGTTTTTTGGTGTTCCATCGTAGATCGCATCATCACTTAGCATCAGGCGCGATAGTGTAATATAAAAAAACGGCCAGTAATATTATCAAACCTTTTTTGAAGTACACAGTACCTACATCCTAACATCATTGAAGTATATTTAAATAAGGAACGCGCCAGTAAAGCCGCAGGGCATTGGTGTCCCTTCAAACCAATTTCAATTACGGTAACTGCTTTCATAGATAGGCCTGCTTGCCGGAACGAGAAAATCAAAAGTATTATTTATTATCTTATCGCATTACAAGGTTGAGGAGACGAAGTCCCATATTCCGATTAGACTAGGGAGTCGAAACCATAGATCGTATAAAATAAACATCTAGATTATTCTATATATTTTCAGTAATAATATGCACTTTTGAAGTTGATAATACTACTCCTGGCCTGGGTGTGTCAGATTGTGACTGACTGACTAACAAACACCCCGTTGCTTCGCCTACTCCGTGCCGGGGCCGGCTGGATCTCGACCCTAGTGGGCCTCATCTGTAGTGGTCTGATGGACGTTGGAATCGTTAATAATCTAATTTCTATTATAAAGGGAACTCCGTAACCAGAAACATTGACCCTTTCTCATATACCGTGGTAATATTTACAAATATAGAAATTCACATTACACGCGGACACATAGGACGTAGATCACAAGAAGAGTAGTTTCGCGCAAAAAAGTTCGCTTTCTGCTGCGCAGCAGCTCGTTGCCCATTCACTGCGGCAATCATGCAGTAAAACTATAAAACAACAATACATCTCATACAAAAACATTGAACGGCACTACTGCAGATTATCTACAGTGTAACAAAGATTGCGTAGGCATGCAATGAACGAATTTAACCGGAGCAGATTGGTAGCAACCTCTGTGATACATTCTCACTATTTAAAACAAAATACCTGAGTGGGGTAAGCCCTGGATGGAGCGAGAGGGATAGTCAGATTTTTACTAACTAAAAACTACCCCGTTCTTTCTCTCGCTCAATATCGGGGTCGCGGTACATTATTTCGCATGCACCCTCAACCCCAGCTGAACATCAGCCCTATTGGGCTCCGTCTGTGATGGTCTAAAGGGTCTTTGAGGCACGCGCCGAACGCTGGATGGTAAAAAACGAACAAGCCAATCAGAGAACCGCGCGCGTGTCACAATTGTCTCAAGCGCACGTGTCGATCAGTAGATTAACGTAAAGCAAATTCTTAACAGATAATCAGTAAACTAACTAAGTCAATAACACATTATAATGATACATTCTTGCTGTGTATTTAAATGATAATTAGACCATAATGCCCGCTTTGAGGAACAGTCAACACTCTTTTAGAAGTAATTGTAAGATATTTAACACCAGCCAAGATCGAGTGATCGATAAGTAATCAGTGATTAGACACACGCAATAATGGTTGCTGATATGTGAAATGTTGGGTTAGTAAGCTGTTAGAAGTAACTTGACACTGATGAAGTGGTTTTCTTGTTTGTTTTTAAATAAACTTTGCCCTATACAAGGATTTTCTCCTGTGTAGTAAGTGCGTTTACAAACATACAACTTCTCAATTGATATGTCAATTAGTATGTCCCGCATAGCAGAACAAATTTTGTAGATTACACAAAGCGTTGTTTCCGTGCGGGAATAGTATTAGGTACCTATGTATAGTGTGTTCTGAAATGTATAAATTGATGTATTGGTGTATAAAAGAAAAACTCGCAACACGTTGCGCGGCAGACAGATGCCTAGCAACAACAAAACATTTTGCAAAGAAAACAAACCTCAAATGCCTAAAAACGACACTAGCGCCACGTGCTCGCAACTTTTCAAACACCAAGATAATATTATTTCTCAACATGTGGTAATCACTCATAAAGACACGTTGACTTTCACCACACATCGTACGTATATTATTGTAGGAACTGCAAATCTACTTTATAGTTATTTCGCTATTTAGATTGTATAGAACGGGCACGCATATTTACGTAATCGCTCATTGGTTTACTATTTGCAACCGTGGCCGGCGATTTCTACTGCAGCTGCTATTGTAACGAATTCGAAAAATGTATTATATTAATCGTTGCCACATTTATTTTAGTAATTAAGATTGATTTGGTGTATATGAGTGTAAGTGGAGTGATAATGTCCGTCGGTAGTTAAATTAAAAGAAAGAAATGTAGTGGGCAGAAACGGAATTGCAAAACCACATCGAATACATCTATATTTAAAAATGTATTAGAAGGCGCATATATGAACGTCTGGACCAATTTTTTTTTTTCGTTATAGTCAGTTTGAAGATAATTTTAGAAAAGTTAAGCATGAAATTGGGATTCCGGATCTATCCTTTGTCGTTAGCGAGGTTTCTGGACACCCGAGCAACTTGTAGGAAACCAGCTTCTATCAGGTAGTTCAATGGGGCTCGGGACCCAGTTGACCCGGTTGAAATTTAGTATAAATTCGTAAGGTTTCGCGTTTAAAGTCATGCAAACTAAACTGGTACGAAATTTCAGCTGAATCGGTCAAAAATATCTGCGTCAAATTTTGTTGCGACATTCCAGTTCACATACATAGGTGCAAGTGCAAGTTAAATAAAATATTGTACCAATGATATTACGTGGTTGAATACCAAATATGTTATGGGTAATGTTATGTTTGAACAAAAGCCTGCATAAAAAAACACGATGACTGTATTCTAATAGTCGCAAGAAGAAGTTTTGTTTAGTAATAGCAATTTCCATTACTTGCTCAGTTAACATAGCAAATCATATTGCGGTACACTAATAGCACTGGACATTGAGACGAATTTTAAAACCGAAATACTACATTGACTACAGCTTTTTTAAGGGGGATAATCATGAAATGTCGTCTCGCACCCTATTTGGGCATTAGCCCTCATTTGGCGTCAGACTCTTACTGACTCAAAACCATCCCGATCTTCCTCATGCTGCAGGCTGGGTACATTATTGCGTTGACCCAGGAATTGACTCACTTAACAGCAAATAAAACAGATTACCGATAATTCACAAAACCAAGTAAAGGCAAATTACTCTCGCCGCAAAACTGCATATAACGCACTTATAAATATGTACGTATACGATCACAAAAATCAACGAAGCAAACATTAATGGCATTCTAAAATTAATCCAAGCGAAAGAGATCGCACATGAGCCGGCGATCAATCGATTATTCGATTAGCAATCGATAGTTTATCGAGACGAATCGATTTCAGTTTCTCTGTGAACAATGAACGTGGACGCGTCCAAATATAGTAGAAACTGCAAATAGAAAATTCGCTGGAACTATGTTTTGGCGCAATGCCAGATCAACACATGTAGCGAAATGAGTACAGAACAATGGTCACTATAAAAATAGTCAATTTAGAAGAAAATTTCAATACTGTAATGTCAGGAAAGTTAACCATAAATGCAAATATGTTGACTGCACTTGTAAGTAAATGTGTACAATGAGATAATTTCCTAGATCCAAAATAAATTGATTGACTCTTCAATAAAATGAATTAAAAAATATAATTATAGGTACTTTCATTCATTGATTTGATGATAAACTTGGTGTCAGGTTTTTTCTAGCTAAATTGGACTTAAAGTTATGACGACACTGTCCGCTATTTCATACAGAAATCATAGACGAATATCATTTTTTTTTAACGTTTAAAAATAGTATAGACTTATTGGTAACTATCGCATTTTTGTTTTTAGGGATTGAATGAACGTCAAGAATGGTAGTGTTTGACTAATACGAGCTAAAGTCAAGTACTGAGTATAAATGCCAGAATATCGTTCTTGGTAATTTAAACAAAGGAGATATTTTTCTATATAAGTACTGTCACATCCCTAAAAGGCCGACAACTCGATTGCAACTAACATTACAAATGTCAATGGGCGATGCCGATCGTTTGTAAAACGTCTGATCGTGAGACCTATACAGTACAAAAAAAATCAAAAACATTCGAATTAAAACATGAATATCAAAGTACTATAACTTGAGAACGTTACTACGCATCTCATTCGAGGCTGATTCACTTCTATTGAATGTTATAAACGTGCCTATTGAGTCGGACAAGACGATAAATGGACAGATGCGGGCGATACGTTGGGATTAAACATTCTGGATCAATCCCGACCATTGTGCCCAGTGTGGGACTGTATAAGTGTCCTTTATATCATTTGGAACTGAGAATTTACGTTTCTTATAGGATATATTATTTATTAAACCCTTACGGCCTTGTTCTAAAAACAAGATTTTCTTTAGTCCAGGTCTAAACCATTGAGTCAGTTTTTGTATTTCAAATTGAAGGTAGATGGGAATAAGATTCAAAATACAGAGATAAGTCTTGTTTTGTAATAAGGGATTTTAAGAGAGGGAGATTTCGTTGCGAAGAGATTGTAAGAAAGTATAAACAATACAATGATTAAGGTCTTTTAAAAATCAAAATGGCTGTTTAGTACACAAACGATGAGAAAGGAGATCTCTGTAGCAAAATCCGTTAATATCATTTAAGCCATTCGAGTGTGAAAATTGACAGTATACAAATAGTCGTATACTATAGTGTTTATAAGACTTATTTTCAGACTTTCTTGATGACTTCTCTCATATCTTTTTTTTGGCTAGGATACGTTACTTGCAAGTTATATTTCAAGAATTTCAACTGAGATTAGGGCAAGTATAATGTTTGAACTTCGTACTTAAATTAACCTGAAGAAATGTCTAAATTGCTAAAAATTTCCTAGGTTTCACTGACCTGTCGTTTGAAAACTTCACGCTGTACATGTGGCTCGGAGAAGTCCTTGCTGTAGTTGAGCCCACATTCGCCGACCGCCACGCACTCCGGCGCAGCTGCGATTTCTTGTAAGTCGCCCCACATATCTTCCTCGATCATAGACTTTGCATCGTGTGGGTGAACGCCTGTAGAAATAGTTTTAATTAATAAAATATAAAAATGTAAGTTGTTCTGCTAAATTTTAGACAGAGGCACGAGGTCTTGAATGGTAGGTTAGGTACACAGACTTTTAGCAGTATGTAATAGCACCACCTAACCTGCTACTGAAACAGCTAGTACGAGGGCAAAAGCGCCAAATTCCAATGGGCATTGACTGATCCGGGAATAGTGCCCAAAATTAATAATACAAGTCTACTACGGCAAACGAGCAGACGGATTATCTGATGTTAAGCAATCCACGCCGCACAAGAAGACTCGTGATATCAAAAAAGTTACTACAAGTGTGTTGCCGGTCACTTGTAGGTTATTAGGGATTGCAGGATAGGAGATTGGGCCTATCGCTATGTGCATCTAACTGCCTGCCTGTCACCTTTGTGGTTAAAAATGAGGTATGTTATTATGTACTTAGATTAAATTAATGTCCTGAAAAAACATTTAAATAATAGTTACAGTTCGCAACCCAAACCGGTACTATTTACCTACCTAAACAAAGTAATTAAGTTTATGATAACGAATTTAAAACAAGGAGAGAGTTACAAAATTATAATGACTACTTGTAAACGTAAGATATAATTAACCTCTTTACGTAAATTCTTCATTAAATATTTTAATTATTTTTAATCTGCGCACTAAGGAAATACATGTTTGTTTAAAACATCATGGTTTTGTAGAAAACCAGTGAACGAATTTTGTTTGGAATTTAAATTTTACATTATTTAAATATGGAAACGTTATATACAGGGTGTAAGGGACAGCCCTCCACAAATTAACAGGGTGCATTCAGCTCCTTATTCTGAATCATATTCCAGTGAAAATTCTTTCAGGAAAATTTTCAATTTTTTTTTCGTTTTTTCAGTTCCTACACCTCTATTTCAATGTATAATTACATTCTATGTATGAAGAATAACATTAATGTAAATAACACAGCTAAAACAAAAAAATACGCAATGGTTGTGTGAATTCTCTAAAGAACTACGCATGAAATCAGCTGTTCAATTTCTACCTAGCGCGAGTCGTTTGAACTCACCGCACCGCGGTCACGGCGCAGCGGCTCGGCGCCCCACCGCGCCGATCGCCGCGCCGCGCGCCGTAGGTATAATACCTACGATCCCGTCCAACGTATAGCTGCGTCCCTTTCTATCGCCCCGCCTCCGCGTCTCCCCGTCTCCCCGATTCTTTGCACAATGTTTGCCCGATTGAACCAGTGTTGCCAATTTTTAACTTTTGTTACCTCAGGTAGTAAACGAAAATGTTAGAACTAGCGAAATTTATCTAAAACTTGAGAACTCCTTTGCATTCATAATTACGTTGATGAGATTTTCATTAATCAATTAATGAAAATCTTGTCGCGCACATAAATTGAATAAGAAATAAATAAAGATTAGTCTAGTTTTCATTTTAAAGCATTTACAAATACTACCTAATTTATTAATTGATTGTTCTTTTTAAGCGATTACTGGCTAGTTTTTAAACTACTTACAGATTTTTACATGGCTTCACAATAGCCATGAATTGATAGTCGAGCCAGAAATTAAACACAATCCTCCCTGGAATGGAAGCACAGCTTTCTATCACACTGCACTTTTATTATTCTAAATTAACTAAACAATGAAATTAGAATTAAATTGATTTAATCAATTCATTTCTCTACAAAAAATAACAGAATGATAAATTACGACCATGCATAATTTTTTATTTTTTACCCCGAAATTTTGTAGTTTTCGTGTAATTGGCAACAACAGATTTATGTTTGTGTGTGTCTCATCACATGCAGTCGCCATTGTGCCTTGCTGCGATGTTATTGTTTGTGTACCGCGAGCGTGTGTCGGCACGGATCGCTCGCGCATTCGGCTTAAAAGTTTTGTTATAAGTAGTGTTGTTAAGTTTTATTAGTTATGTAGTGTGTGAAGTGTAGTGAAGTTTTGTTGTAGAAATTGTGCGAAATTACTACCTAGGTACGTTTTAGCGCGCGTGATTATGGGGAGATGATAATGTGTTGTAGTAGTGTAGGTATCCTGACCGTCGCCATCCATCAGACTCCAGGATAATTACTGGTGACTATCAACGCTTGCTAGAAAACCAGCCCATTGTTCCCAGACAAAAAGGCGCCGGAAGACCAATACCTACGTGGATTTTGGAATTGGTTCGCTAACGTAACGAGACGCTACCACTTACCAGTGCTTTCCTATTTAAACGTAGTTTAGGTAGGTTTGGACCGCAACCGTGGCCAGCACGATCCCCAGACCTAACCCATTTGGACCCCTTTTTGTGGGGTTACGTAAAGAAAAAGTGTTTGTGAGTGCGTGTGCAAGTGAGTACAAAATGCGAGACCGCATCACAAATGCTTTCCAGAGCCGGAAACCGGAGCGATTCTAAGGTACCTACGCATTTTTTCTTTTTTATCATTTATCAGTTACCATGTTATGATTGTTAGATTTTTTTTTGTAAGTAATGCAGCTATCTTTTAAATAATAATTTATTGTTATTAAAACGTGGCGCGAGCGCGATTATTACATTGTCTTTTGTAAGTAATGCGGCTATCTTTTAAATAATAATTTATTGTTATTAAAACGTGGCGCCGGGCGCGCCCGTTTGTCTGAACGTAGGTCGCGGCGCTGCCCATAGTGTAAAGTAATAATACTAAAAGCGCTGCCGTTCGCTGCGTGCGTTTGCGGTGGTAGCGATACATTGCGTGTAAGGTAATGAAACAAATCGGTTTAATTGGATTCCCATAACGTTCCTGAAATAATTTCATGTACCGGTCAACTTAAGACGATATACTGAATCCACCCTATCAGTTTGCGGAAGGCTGTCCCTTACACCCTGTATACCTTTCTGCTTTTTTGGTCAAGTAGTGCTTCGGACCGAGATTAACAAAGTATTACCGGGATTTTTGTAAGGTAAAAAGTCTAATATTGATAATAGTCATTGGCTGTACTATACATGTGTCACACGGACCAACATGCAAGTCTAATAAAACAAAATGCTACGTTCATATTCTAAATTCTAATGCTATTCATGACGTCATGGTAGCGCCTCAGGTCATTGATCATTTATAGTAAGCAGACAGCCAGTCTTTAGCATATTAATTTCGGAGACGGGGTGAATCGGGAATGAGGGGTCATCCATGGCCACTTGCAACACCAGAAGAAGTACCAAGTGCTCCTGCCCCACTCAAAAAGCCGGCAGCTTTTTGGGGAGGGTTAAGCCTCCGGATCTTCATGGGGTTCCGTGTGCAATTGAAATAACGTACAGCGACACCGGCTAGAGCAGATGAAGGAACGGGATGGTACTTAGTCAGTAAGAGTCTGATGCTCCCCTAACCAGGGCAGAAGAAGACATTGGATCATTTCCGTTCTCAAAAAAATGTCTCTGGAAAACTCAGTAGCATGACGAAACGAAAGCTTTTACGCGTATTTTGTATGATGGCTCTTTCATATTCAATGTCTTCCTATTGAATTTTTTCTTTCTTGACAGACGGCACATTATGTCAACAAACATAATATACAACATTAGCAGACAATTTAGAGAATAAACAATAATTATGATATTGTAAATTCAATGATAACGTTTATTATTATCACTGAAGTAAATGACTGATAAACTAATTGTTTAATTTGAATTCAAATATAAACTTGTTGAATTTAGATTACAAAGTTAGGAGACGGAACAACATTATTATCCGAAGTATTCCTCTAATGGCGTGAAGCTTTTTGTTTATAGTATAAAACAGCAAACGAGCACACGTGTTACCTGATGGTAAGCAATCGGCGCCACCCATGGACACCCGCAACACCAGTAGGAGTAACGAGTGCGTTGCCGGCATTTGGGAATTGGGGACTAGGAGACTTAGGGATTGGAGAAGAAGAAGAAGCATTGGGCCTCTGGTAAACCTCATTCACATGACGAAACAACGCTGAGGTAGTTTGACGATGGTTTCCTCTGAGGCCGTGGTGTCATTCCGATCGAGCCGACTTATTTGTGCCGATACAGGCCATTACCACACTTCTTTCTCAAAAAAAATTGTCTCTGGTGACGTCGCTTACATTTTTTTGACACAGTTCGCCAAACGAGCTCAGATAGATTCCTTGATGATAAGCAATCGGCACCGACCGGGTTTTTAAGTTACATGTACATTGTAGCCTTTTTATGGTTAGGGTTTTGAGGATTGGTGACAGGATCTTGTAATCTCACTCACTATGAAGCATAAAACAACAGTTGTTTTACGCCTTTTTTCTATGAGGTATGCTTTCGGTTGAGGGGCCCGCCCATACCAAAACAGGGCTATCCCACGCTTACCCTAATAGCGTGAATGTTGCATACATACAACAAGCATTTTAACCCTCGAAGGATGAGCCTAGGATTAAGTAGAGGTGCATACATCATAACATCTGACTAGTAACGACGCCCAAGTAACAGGAGAATGAGGGTCATTTTTTAAATTACCGGCAACAATTTCAACCAATCGCTTCACCAAGCCATCCAACGGCTTTAATGGCTAAATTTCTCATTCAGGATGTAGATAAGTTGAAGGGTAAAGGGATTGTCTTGAAAAGGGTGTAGTTACTAGAATGGGAGTTTTTTTTTCGTTTGGGGAAAATCAACCAATGGCTTCTCCCGCCCAAGGTGAGGCGAGAGGAAGTGTCAGACTCTTACTGACTAACCTCGACCACCCCGTTCCTTCTCCTAATTTATGCCGAGGCCTCATTGAGCTGAATGATAAGTTAAGTTTAGTTTTATGAACTGCATATGACATATGAGACGATACTGACAGATATAAGTATACCTATTATTTACAAAATAATTGAGCAATGCGTATGCGTCAATATCTGTACCTGGATGATAAGTAACTATTATCAGTAGATGTGGTCCAGATATTTCACAATTCAATAAGTATGAGTGTATGAGAAACTTATACTTAATCTTTATAATCTTATCGAAGGATCATCTTTTGTAGTATCTGAAG